AGATTAATCCGAACAGAATGAACAACTTTGCTTCCTGCAAAGGTTTTGTCACCTTTGCCTGTCCTTTATACCTTATGGGAGGGGCAATCATCTCCGAGCCTTACTCCTGAGTTGCCCCTTTTGTTTCAGCTGCTCTTGCTTTCTAGCAGCTCTGCACACAAGCGCACTGGGAACAGGCTCCCCTTGTTCCTCAGCTTCGCTGCTGCCAGACTCTAGAGAATCTGAGTCACCGCCCCACAACCAGATGGTCCTGGCCCCATCTCTGCATCAGATGCAGGACCCTCATCCGAGTCCTCTCCAGATTCCCTGACTGGTCCCTGTTCTTCCCCACTGTCCAATTCCGCTGCCATCTGCACAGGCTACTGGTGAACCACAACATATAGTAGATTATGCAGCCTTTTAAAAAAAATCTATATGTAGGAAGTTAGATGATAATTTCAAGCTTGAAAGGGCCAGGAAAGTAAAGGGTAAGCCATTGTACACTTCGAAATTTTGGAAAAAATAATCTGGATAAAGTCATTCCATATCTATCTTAAAGTTTTTGGAAAGAATATTTCTCTCAGGATAGAAGTTTCAAGTTTTTTTTATCTAATTCTCAAGAAGCTTTAGCATTTCCTTTGGTATTTGGTCTTATTTTAATTTTATGAGGTGATAAAGTCCACTGCTGTTGTTCTTGGCTTTTTTTTTTTACTGTAATGCATTATGCAGCCCTTCATGGTGTGTATAAAATTTTGTAGAGACTTAAAAACAGTAGAATCCAATGTAGAAATGTGTTAGAACTACCTTTATCCAAGAGAGAAGGGGGGCAGGGGAGGGAGGGGGAAGGGGAGCGGAGGGGAGGAGAGAGAGAGTGCAAAGTCCTGTTTGATATATTTGCCTCTTCTCTTTTTTAACCCAGTTCAAAGCACTTATTTTGAAATTTAAAAATCTTTTTTCTGATAATAATAATTCTGCCAGCTGAAAAACTTCCTTGTCTCTCTACTATTGATGTAAATGTTAATGTATTTTTTAAATTATTGTTTTGGAAGTATTTTTGTTACTTATCCTTATTCTTTTATCTGATCACATATATAGAGTAAATATTTCCCACCAGCTATTGGATAAAAAGAACTGCTGCTGCCTTTATTGTCATTGCCACACTGTGTCCTAGTTGCTAAACAGCTGATTGGCATGCCAGCATGTCCTGGCTCAGTCTTGATTTCAACCAAATCCATCCTCCTCCCCACAAAAAAAGTACAAGAATGAATATTCTTTGCTGGGTCATGGGACCTAACTGAATATACAGCAACTATATGCACATATCTTTTCATGTAGGATTTTACCACAGTTTCACATTAACATGAAGGCTGGCCTGTGGTTGTAATTCATCCCATTTATCATAATCTTCTCCCAACATATATCACATAAATGTCTGGAAACATCAGTGAATCCTAGAAATATAACATAATCCATCTTGTTTTGCTCTGAATGATGATAAGGGATTGCTATGATATCAAATATTATCAAATATTATTGTTACTTATATTGCTATGATGTAATCTGGTAACAGAGCTGGAATAAAACCACTGTAGATGATATGGCTAAAGAAAATATGGTTACTTTCTGAAAAGGAATCAGTTATTGACACACTGAAAAGAATATACAGGTACTCTTGCACTTCCGGCAAAAATTGGGACTAGTCATTAAGTAATGCAATTGATTCGAGTTACAGCCAGTTTTATGATCCTTCTGATTTATGATCTTTTTGATCTTTTTCTTCCACATTTATTAAACAAATAACTATGTTAAGCAAATCTATCTTGCCCCATTGACTTTGCTGTTGGAAGCCACTTGGCAAGGTTTGCAAATGGTGATCAAGTCACCCTGGGATCATGCAGTCATCATAAACACATCCCAGCTGTCAAGCACCCAATTTTTGATGATGTGACTGCAGGGATGCTGCATTGGTTATAAGTACAAGGACAGGACAAATCACTTTTTTTTCAGCATAATTTTTATAAACAAATAAGGACAACCTGTAATGGTAATAAAATGAAGTCATAGACAAGACGTACATTAATAGGAGATCACATGGATTCTTCTGGCTATGCTTTGGATAACATAATGACACATTGGTAAGACACACATTTCTATATATTATACATACTGT